TTTACTTTTGGTACACATGCATCTTTGCAACTTCACCTTTCCCTGCTTATTGATATATTCAAAATTAACATCATTCTAAACACACAATATCAACAATCACATGAAAGCAATTCGATCAAACTTATTTCAATATATGGAAGGAATTGAAATTCAATGTATGCATCATGCATGCACCAAGTTGATATATTTATTAAGCTGGCTAGCTAGTAGTTAATTCCTGTGATAAGGAGAACCACTACTAGGGAGCCCTGATTTCAGCAGCATCCCGGCAGCCATGCGGACTAACAGGAACGGCACCCACAGCTTCATGGACCACCACATCATCCTCAATTTTTACTGTTACGGTTTGTTCTCCACAAGGACCTGTCGTGATAGTCTCCTGGATTACTTCATGTTCTTCAATACAAGCTGCTGCTTCAGGAATCATCTCCGGCTTCTTCTTCTTTTTCTTTGCTAAACAAAAGAGCCCAACCAGTAGGAATGCAAGGAAAAAGGCGCCACCAAGGGAAACACACACGGCGATGATGGTAGTGTGGTTGCTGCCTGGTGGTGGTGACACTATTACTGGGGATGATGCTGGAGCGGAGGCCAAAGGTTCGGGTGGGAGTGGTCCAAGTACTGGGATGTAACCGGTGGGTGTTAGAGGTTGAAGGTTATTAATTGGCGGTGGCGTTGGAGTAATACTACTCTTGGTGGGAGTTGGTGGATTTGACTGTTTAGGTGGCGGCGTCTTATTACTTGGACCAGGAATAGAAGGAACTGTTGGTTTTGGGGATGGAGGGAAATAAGATGGTGTTGGTGGTGGTGGCGGCTGATATTTGGGAGGTGAAGCTTTTGGTGGCTGGGTAGCAGGGATTGGCGGAGGTAGCACAGGGTTGCATGGAGGAGGAGGCGGAGGTGGCACAGGGGTGCAAGGAGGAGGTGGTGATGGTGGCGGCGGAGAATAATATGGATAAGCCATTTTACTTGTACCTCCGAAGAAAAGGGGATGGAGGGGGGAAATTGCACAACTTAATTTATGGCTGAAGTTATAAACCTTAATTTCAAAAATATATATATATATGATCAGTGCTTGTTCGGTTTAATTTAAAAAAATTAAGAAAAAAAATAAAAATCATCTTAATGTATATATTTAAAAATAAAGTAATTTAATTTTTTTAATAAAAATTTATTAAAATGATTTAGTTTTAAAATAATTTTTTTTTTAATTTTTAAGAAATAAGATTGACAAGTATTATTTTATATATATATATATATATTTTGTGACAGCAAGCAAGAGTTATATTGATTTATTAACTAACTTGATTTTATTAAAAAAATAATAATAAACTCATTTTGCAGCCAAACTAGTGGGACAGTGGTAGACGATATTATTGGTTGCAATTCACGTGATGAAAAGAGCAGTACCAGAAATTTTGAACTTTCAATCTAATCGACTCCAACGAACCAAATTGCGTATTTAATTTGCCAATATGTATGGAAGTAGGTTAATATACATTGTCTCTTGAATTAAAAACCAGTTTGAAAGTTACTGATAAGTGGGCCAAATCCATTGTCTATTTTCAAAAAAAAAAAAAAAAAAAGATAAGTGGGCCAAAGAAAAGAAAAGAAAAAAGCCGGTCCAAAGTGTTTAATCAACGGAATTAGGTATAATTATTTTTTTTAATTTTATAAAAATTATGTTAACAATATAATTTAGTGATAATTTATTTTTAGTAAAAATAAAAACTTTTGAATTCGAATAAAAAAGATATATAAATAAAATGAGTTAATAAATAGAGGTGAATTGTTTTTTATAGTATTATCTTTTATTATGTAATTGAAGGTAAAAAAATTAATAAAAATTGCAATGATACATGAGACTGAAATCAATTGGAGTACAAAACTAAAAATTGCTTATCTGTGTTGCGATAGAGACTAAAATCCAATCGGATGAGTATCATCTTGAATGAAAAGCCCAACTAATTTCACTTTTGGCCCAAATACAAAATGGAAAGTTTAACAAACTACTATTGGACCTGGTTGTGCGATTTTCTACTTTGGATGTAACCCATTCGGCTTAGTTAAGCCCTTCCTGGTTGGTTTGCATAGTTAGGAGGCGCTTCTGTTCCTCTGAGACTCATAAATCGGAAGACTCGGAACACAATCAACAGAATACCTTAGCACAGCCCAAATGGTCCAATGGTGAAAATTTGATCAGTAAGAGAAAGGCGTGTGGATTAAAGAAGCAATGGCAATATATATATATATATATAACTAATTTTTTGATATTCGGTAACTACATTATATCTTGATTAATCCGAAATCGAGTCATATTAAATCTTATTTGGAAGGAAACTCTCCTAACATCTATTTCTCTATTCATAAGATTCGAATTCGAAATATTGCTCAAAAGTTCATTCAAACCAATAGGTCGTTGGTAGCTATGACAATATATAGAAAACGAAAAT